ACGAGAAAGGGAGGTTCCTAACAGAAGAGCAGTTTCTGGTGTGAGATCCTCTCCCTGAAAGCGTCATTCAGAGGATTTCATCCTGAGGTGGAGACTTGTGTCATTCAGAGGATTTCATCCTGAGGTGGAGAGAGGAACGCTTCAGATGGATGCTGAGACCAAAGCAGGTGTCAGATGAAGAAGTGGCTGGAAGGTATGAGGCGTTAGTGGGAAGAACTGGAAAAATGTTTGCCAAAAAGAGAGACCAGGCCAATTATAAAGAAGATGAAAATAGAGACATACAACCAATGAAAGCCAAGAAGATGTTCTGAGAACACCGAGGTTAAAATGTGTGCTTAAGACACGGCTCGGGTGCCTTGTGAAAAAGTGTGCTGTGGGGCTTAGCATTCATCCTGGTGCTTCCTTTATAAAGCTTAATATTGTAACATAGTTTGTAAAAACATTTGTGACGGCACAAACATGCTGTTTTTGAATCAGCTGATGGAGCTGAGACTCCCTCAGCAGAATGGGATATGGGCCCTTGGCTTCGAATTGTTACTTGCAGATGTTTTGACTTTAGACTTTTTAAGATTTATTTTTTTTTTATTAATTTAAGATTTATTTATTAATGTATACAGAACTAGGGTCAGTGAGAGGCTTCACCAGAGACAGAGCGGGGAGCAGAACAGGCAGAATGACAAAGTCCACTGCTGAGGGGAGCAGCGGGCGGGTCAGGAGAGGTCTGCTGTACTCTGTGAGTCTCTCCCTGGCCGGGGATCGAACTCGCACTGAAGCAGCTGCGGCCACTTGCAATGCTGCGTCCTAATCTGTTGCGCCACCAGGGAGGGCCTGACTTCAGATTTTTTTTAAATGTCACTGTTGTAATACAGTGAATTGACTGTGTGACTGTTTGAATTCCTTAATGATTATATTTCACTCTAAATTATCAACTGCGTGAAGCCAGTTCATACACACATGTTGGAATCAGTCACGGGAATTTATTATACATAAACTCATGTAGAACAAACGCTCTCCCGCCTGAGGTATTTACCTGCTGCCAGGTCATTGTCAGCTTGTAGGATTACAGGATTTTTGTTTAAAGTCTTTAATTAAAAAAAAATCTATAATAAACATCTGTTTCATTAAAAGAAAGAAAAAAGAATGGACACCACCGAACTGGGACCCCACTTAGGGATGAAATGTTTTGTCAAGTTCAGAAAAAGAAACCAAAGCCCCTGATTTAGGGGTACTTGACAGATCAACAGTTTTGCGAAGAAATTATGTAAACACTGAGGCATAAAGAGAAAGAACACTCCGTTCAAGTCAAGGTCTGGGGAAGGTATTGCCAGCCTGGATTGGAGATAGTCAGGGCTGGGCCGAGATTGCCCAGCCCAGCGTGGGGGTCACTCCTAGTCTCAGGTCCGCTCCACGCCCACCTGCCAGGCATTCTGCCGGGACAGGGACACCTCTGTCCACGGCGCCCTCCTGAGCCTGGCTATTCTCTCCTCGAAGAAGCTATGGACTCCCCTCTGTCAAGAGCAGCCTCAGCATGGGGTCTCCTGCAACCCCCCAGGATGGATGAGCACCTGGGCACAGGCCGCAGTCCAAACCCCCAGAAAGGATGAGTATGGGTCGCCAAGGCAAGCGGCCACTCTGAATGTGGCCTCGAAGCCAGCACAGTGTCCTGAGGAAGACCAGGCCTGAGCCGGGCTCTTCAGGGAGCCATCAGAAACCCCTGGACCTCGCAGGTGGTCGCCATTTTGGAAAAGCTGGGCTGGGCGCCAGGGCCCGGCTGACCACCTGCCCCTGACTAGGTTCCCGGCCTCCTGCTCCCAGCGCCTTCCCTCTCTGCTTCCCTCTCTGGGAGACGTCACCACCCCTGTGGTGTCAGAAACCACCTCGCTGTCCTGTGCCGGTTACACGCCCCAGCCTGAGCCTCCAGCACCCCTCTGACCCCACTCTCGGACGTCCCAGCAGAGTCCCGAGTCTCCAGCGCTGTGCCCCTCAGGGAAGCCACAGCCGGACCCCCACCCCTACCCGAGTGCGGCCTCTGGGGAGCTGGGCCTCGTCCTCCCCCTTCCCCCACACCCAGTACTCTCCCGTTTCTTCAGCCAGTCTCCGTTTCTTTTCTGACACACGTGTCACCACTTGAAGTCATCTTGTGTTTACATCTTGCCGCTGTGGGCCGCCTCACCCACCGAGGGGAGGCAGTGTGGGGTTTCTGCTCGTGGACGAACCCCAGCGGAGCTCAGGGCCAGAGAGCGAAGAGTGGCAGCTCACGGCCATGACTTCTCTGGGAGGCAGCGCCCGGCGCCCAGGCGCACCCCCGCCCCCCCCACCCCGTGACCTGCCCTGACCGGGGCAGGCCTGAGTGTGCCCACCTCTGACCCCCTGTTCACTGAGAGATACCCGTCAGAGAAGGCGCCTTTCTGCCCCAAAATGCCCCATCTGCGGCTCGAACCCGCCTCCTCCTGAGAGCCGTCCTGGGAGCTGAGCGGAATAGCTCGGGGCAAGGCTTCCCCTGGGCCCCTGGAGCCCCGGCTGCGGGTTTCCTCAGGCACCCTACCGCCGTCATTCTCCTTTCCCAAAATAAATTCCTCTGTGACACAAGACGGAAATGCTATACCTGCGTGTTCTCTGGGCACCCGCCGCAGCCCCAGAAATAGTGTGGGGCACTCTGGACTCGCCATACCTGGGGCCTCCAGTCTGATGCAGTATGACCCCACGCTGCTCGCCGCCCCCCTCTGGGCCCCCGAGGAAGTTCCCGGGGTCCTCAGTCCTCTCCAGTCTTGCCCTTCTGCCCCGCACTCCCCTGACCAACTAATCCTTCAGTCAGGGCTTCCGGGTCCAGGGCAGACGCTGGGCGCGTCCGTGCCTGACACAGACACCTGCAACCAGAGTGTGCAAATAGTGCCCAGGTGTCAATAATTGTGTCAGGAAGGCGGGCCTCTGGGAATGCCGCGTTAAGGTAGTCTGTCTGGCAGGCCTCCTTTGCTGTGAGATTTCTTGGAAGGAGCAAAATAAATACTGTCTGGTGTCACCTATGTGTGGGATTTTAGAGGAACCAAATAAAGGCTCAGACACAAAGTTGTAAAACTGAGCCTTGAAAGGTGACCCTAGGCCCGAGGGGTGGGGGAGGGCAGGTAAGTCAGGAGGGGGCGAGCACATGGACGGTGGTGGAGGACTGTGGGCGCTTTGGTGACCATGTGGTCACAGGAATGTAAAACAATGGTACTTCATTTTAAAAAAAATCCTGGGGGTCCTTCCTGGGGGCACAGCTAGTTAAAGCACAGCGCTCAGAAGCTAAAGCCACTTCAGCACCAGTTCGACCTCGCCCTGGAGGTGACCCCGCCTGGAGGTGACCACGCCTGGAGGTGACCCACAGGGTGTGGCAGTTGGCTCCTGGCCCTCGGCTTCTCCCCTTAGCACTGGAGGTGACCCCACCTTGGAGCTGACCCTGCCCAGAGGTGGAGCGGGTCAGGAGCTGCTCCCCTCAGCGGTGTGCTTCGTTGATCTGCCTGTTCTGCTCCCCACTCTGTCTCTAGTGAGTCCTCTCGCTGCCCCTGCACCTCTGCCCTGTACCCCAGTTCTGTAGGCATGAATAAAATAAAGCTTAAAATATATATATATCTTGGAACCTCTAATGTGTGCTCCAAAGCAGGAAGATTTCACCCACACAAAACCCTTGGTGCTGTGGGTTGGACTTTGGGGTGGGTAGCTCCGGGGAGCTTCCCGGCCCTGGGGTTCTAGCCCCACCTGCTTTTGAAAGGGGTACACTCTGAGGGGGGTCAGTTTCCCAGGTGTCAGCTGCAAAGAGGACCAGCACCAACGGAGGAACCCCTCTATCCCAAGCTCCTCAAAAGAGCGAAGGCAACGAGGAGACAGAGGTCTGGGCTCTCCGCCCTCGGGCGTCCTGCAGCCTCCCCTCACGCAGCGAATAAACCACAGGCAGGTCCTGCCGGTTTCGGCCCCTCTAAGGGGCCGAGGGATCCCAGCAGACGCTGCCTCGGTTTCAGGGGGCCAATACTGTGCTGGGCCCCTCGCAGCGAGCAGAAGCGGTGAGCGCAGCGGTCCCACGGGGGAAAAGCCCCAAGAATGCTCAGAGGCCAGCTGTGAAACAATGCACTTTATTGGCGACAGGACAGAGGGCTGGGGGTTCTATACATCAGAAAGGGGGTGACGGTTCCAGCCAAGGACGGGACCCCCCGGGGCAGCAGAAGGCGGTGGCTGAGGCCACCCCTGGACGCTCAGAGACACAGGCTGGAGCCAGGGAGAAGAGCCTGGAAGTCTCTGCCTGGGCTGCGCCTGGGGACCTGGACGGAGCGAGGAGCTCTGGTCTTCGGGCCCGAGAGAGGGGCGCCTGCGGCAAGGCGGAGCGGGGTGGCGCGGTGCGGGCGGCGGGCGCGGAGCGGGGGGCTCGGCCGGCGCGTCCCTTATCTGGAGCAGTGGCCGGAGGACTGGGAGAACTTGACGCTGCTGCTCCGGCTGCTGCTCGAGCTGAAGCC